GCGAAACGCTTGCTGCTGCCGCCGCTGGGAGGGTGGGCACGGGCGTCATAACCAATCACCACCCCTCGCTCCTTCAGGTTCTCAAAACTCTCCTCCAGATAGTGACAGAAGCCCTAGTTGGAATACAACATGTGGAAATACATGTTTTTTGTCACTACTCTTGTTCGTCTTGTTTTTCTTCTTCTCTGTTTTCTTTTCCTGTGGCTGTTTCTTTGCTAAACAGATTCAGTTGTTGAATCACCATGTCATGTCATTTTGGAATGATTGTATTCTTGTATTCAACCACAACAATTTACACTTAAAAAGAAAACACCTGATGTTGCCAAATCTTATTATTAAACACATTTTGCATTTAATAATGTGTTATGATTCCCATTCCTTTAGCATTAACTGACCTGAGTGGTCTGGATGATGGTGAGGTCATTCATACAGGACACACCGGGACCCATGGCTGCCCTGAGACCTGCCGTACCAAACTCCATTCTGGAGGAGAAACATTTCTTCAGAGCATCCACTGCTCCCTCCTTCATCATGTCCTGCACCAAAGATGCTGTTTTGGGATTCTGAGAAAGAAAAGCCATTTGTTGATAATATTATTTTATCTCTAACCCAAAAAGTTTGGGTTTAAAGTAATTCAGTTCAACTTTGAAACAGATGCTAAAAAAGCATGCATCTAGTTAAACATTTAAATCACATTACCAGTAAGTGGGCCCACAAGACCACTCCTGCTCAAATAAGCAGCAACACTGTTGTTTCAACACTAATGAATTCTAGCCCTGTCCACATTATAACTGAATTAGTGGCATCCTAACTCACAGGAATATCTTTAAAATGTCTTTAGAAGCTACTGCTACAATATATTTGTGTCAAAGTGTGACACATAAAGTGTGACAAATAAATAAATTTGGGGTAGTGGTGGCTTAGCGGTTAAGGAAGTGGACTTGAGTCCAGAAGGCTTCAGGTTAAGAGTCCACCAGTTGCCAAGTTACCACTGAGGTGCTCTCAGCAAGGCACCGTCCCCACACACTTAAAGCTGACAGCTGAGTGTGTGTGCAGTGGTGTGCTGTGTCACAATGATAAGTAGTTCACTTTCACTTTCACAATATGATTGGCAGAGGATACACAAATTTGGAAATACTGTCTTTACTGGAAGGATAACTAAGTATAAATCATGTGTTAAGGATTGTGAAACAGTCCTTGCAACAGACACAAGGCAGGAACTCATGCAGGAACCAAATACAGCCTCTCAAGGTTTATTTAGAATTTCAGTTAATTCATTAATGATATAATATTGATGTTTAGGAAATTTCTTTAAAAAAATTGAAACGTAACAATTCAGAACTAACCAATTTAGACAGCATTCATCTTACTCACTTCTAATGTCTGCAACTTCCATATTTATACTATCTCGACCTATTGGTAATTAGATCACAGCATAACATTTACAGCTTGTATAAAAGGGAAAAAAACATTCTAGTATAAAAGGAATGACATTTCAATAACTTAGAAACAGATATTTTATATCACCTAAGCAGAAAACGACACAAGGAGTAAAAATATACAGTACAGATAAGTACTGTGGCACACAATGGGGCTTTCAGTTTGCTCTTATTAATAGATTAAAAAGGGAAATATATTAAAATGTGTGCATGTACTATATGGACACCTTTATGTTTGTTGTTAGTCTGACAGATTTAACTAACGTCAAACCACAATCATATTGCATATGGTAATTCATAACTCAGGTATGTGAGCATTGTCTCTCGGCGTCTCGGCTAAATACGTTAGCTATGGGCTAACCTGGTCATACTGCAACCACTGACTGACAGCCTGGTCCAGCTCGATGTCACCGGTTCCGTCCCCCATGTTACACTTCCTGTTAAGTTCGCGAATAGTCCCGTTCTTGTTCTTCTCCTCCTGGGCTGACCCGTGTTCTGAGTCTTCTGGTTTCCACAAGTGACAGATTATATCTGTCTCGTACTCCGCCCCCTCTGTCGACAACCAAACCAAAATATCGCGAGTTTGCCGGAAACAGTTTCACGCCACGTACAGGAAACTTACGCGTGGAGTTTCAGGGGATATACGAACCATAACACACGTGACACCTGGGAACAGTTTGGCTGTCACACAGACCGGAAAATGCTGCTGAGTAGGAGTTCGAAGGCGGGTCTAACGATCAAATCAAGCAAACCATGGCCTGTGATTTGTTGCGTTCGAGTTGAAGGATGTGGATTGGAGGAGAGTTTGAGGGGCAAGTCTTTGCCAAACTAAGAGTTTGTTCTTGGCAAAAGGTTCCAGTGTAACCAGCTTTACGTGTGGCCAACTCCAGGGACTCTGTTAATGTGAAAATTACCTTTAAATGAGCGATTTACTGCGTGTAGACACCAGGATTTATTACTCGTTTGTAATGTGTGTATCTCTTGTCATTACAAGTATCTTGAATTGTCATAAATATTCGAGATTTAAAATACAGTACTCCACAATAAGCATACAATAAAACCCTAAACAATGTTGTATGTAAATACCAGTAATGTGTACACCCCCTAATGGCCTTCATCAGTAACTACATAGTTTCTCCTAGAAGGACAGGACGACGTCTACTGAAAGGATATGAGGTTGCCCAACGGGAGACCTTGGGAATCCCGAGGGCTATTTTACGTTCTGGAAGGGAGGGTTTAACTTTACGCCCGCCGGCGCTGTGGCTTAGTTGGTTAAAGCGCCTGTCTAGTAAACAGGAGATCCTGGGTTCGAATCCCAGCAGTGCCTTTATTAAGGTTTGCAAGTAGGAAAGCGGCCCTTTTATTTCACAATTACCATCCTGATTATATAAATAATGGATGAGACTATTCCCAGAGTTTTATTGAAGAAATGTATTTGTGTGTGATTGTGTTTAAGGTCTATGGTACTGTACTATATATATATATATATATATATATATATACACACACACACACACACACACACACATATATATGTTGCATGTTTCATTTTTTTAAAATTAGGACTTTGTTAATAGCTGGGTATACTGGTCATTGAAGAAAGGCACATGATCACAATTAGTTGTTTTGTTTCATTAATTTACTGCAAAAAAACATAGTCAAATTAAAATCCACATCACGTATGATCTGTATGATCTGAAGCCTGTCGCAGACACAGCAGAACCACTGTAGTACTGTTTGTTGTATTCTTTAAATGAATGAACACTTTTGGAGTAATTACAGTGAGAGTTGAAATCTGTGGTTATCATTCTGGACAGAACATGGGACTAAGACCTAAACTCCTCCTCCACTGATGTTTCACACTCAAAGAAAGACAGTAAAATAACTTCACTAAACTCCCACAGAATTTTATTTACCGAAGGCAAAAATCCTGTGCTTACTAAATATTGACTTTTCTGCAGTCATTATCATTTCATTGAATCAGGGAGAGAACGTCTACATCACATTTTGTCCATTGAATCATATAAACGTGGCCATGTGACACTGATACTGATGAAAATGCTGTCTCTGAACTGCCTTTTGTCAACACATTGGCACCTCTTCGTTTACCATCACTGTAACGTCTCAGATGCTGCCTGATGTAAATAAATACTACATGTTCACGCCCTATGAACTTTCACTCTGGATGTCACTATATCAGAAACTAGACAATCAGAAGCTGGACTATGGGATGAATTATGAGCAAAGAAATGTTGAAAAAAGACACCGTTTTGTTATTTAAAATATTTTGCACTTAAATAAGATCAGCTATGAACGCCATCAGTGCAATTTATAATACTGCTGTGATGAACAGGTTTGCTGAACAAAGAATAGCTATTCTCCACATGATGCCATCCAAAAATGTAGCACATGTCAGAGATTAGTCAAGTCCAAATGCCGGTCAAGCTATGCTAACTGCTGTTAACTTGTGGATGAGTCACATGACAGAATCTAATGTTTGTCACCTGCATTTCCTTACTGAAGCATTTGAAATAAAATCACATGATTTTAAAAATTCTTTACATTCCTCTGAACTGCAGACTGGTGGAAAATGTAGCTGTGAGATCATGTACCAGTCTGCTAGAATTTACATTGAAGTCAGCAAGTTTGTATCACTACATCAGACTTAAAAAAAGAAAAGAAAATGGACACACTTGATCCACTACCGTGTTAAACTGTCTGGAAAAAGTCTAAAAAATATCTGTGGATATGACATGAACGAATACTTTCTTTGACAGTCTTTTGTGCCAAGTACTAGTTTTAGTCATTGTTGAAAACAGTGATTCCTATTTAGAGGGAAAAACCCAATAAAACACTAACAGTGACATGTATGCATGTCTGGTCTGTTGGATTTTTCAGTTATGTTTTTTAATTTGTGACACTAAATGAGAAGGACATAAACAAAAAATTAAATATCTTCTTGTGTTCTGAACCTGGTGACCAAGAACACGTCAGCCTCATTTTTACACTGACTTCACAAACAGAATAATTCCTATGATGAGGATTCATCAATCCAAAACTGTTCTAATCCAGGATTAAACATTGGGTGTCAATGTTCACAATGACAACTGCTACTTCCACCAGTGTGTTGTCAGTACAGTACTGATTATTTCTACAATGAGAAATATAACAGGTGTTTTCAGTTAAATATCTCAGCCATTCATAAATCACAGGCCTGAAATTAAAAAGAAGTTACCAATCTGTAGACACGAGAGCCACGTCTCTTAAGTGGCACAAACCTACTCGTCATAAAGTCCTCGACCTTTGACACCACACAATTATCGATGCTATCTGCTGCGCCTCCTTTGTTTGATGATGAAGAGGTTCTCATCAGTCGGATACATCTGGGCAGCATTTCTTTTATTCCGACTCCTCCTCCTCTTCCTGTTCTCTGCTGCCTCTTGTTGAGACCCTGACCCTTGCTTTGCAAAGAGATGGTTTTGTCTGCTGCCTTCATGTCCACCTTTAGAAAAGCCCTGAGTTTTCTTCTTCTTTTTCATTTTGAACTTTTTCTTCTCCTTCCACTGTTCTTTGGCTCCTCCTCTGGGATAGTCATCTGCTTCATCCAAAATTAGTCTAGCGGGTGGGAGCGGGTCTCTGGAGGTTGGCACTGGTCTCTTGGGTTTCCACGGTTTGGCGTTGCCGCTGCTTTGCTGCTGTTTGCACTTGTTGAATTTATTTGTTTTTGTGGTTCTGTCATCGCTGTCTTTGAAAAAGATGTGGCTGGAACTGGGTTTGTGGTTGTTAGGTGTTTGGTCACCCCTGTGGTGACTGAGCTTCTGTTTCTTCTTTGCTGGTCCAGGAGTGACAGGGGTCTCCAGGGTGTCAGGGAAGCAACCATTTTTCTTCAGTTCTGGAGAAAAAAAGAAAAAACAGAATAGACTTTATCTTAATAAACAGAGATTTGTATACAGAGATCAATAAACAGGAGGTTAATTCACTTTCAAATTTGGTCACTTAATTCAATTTTTATGATGGTGTAATATTATTAATTCAAATGTTCTAGTTAATAAAATTCGACGCCTTTTGAACTTTTCGACCAACACAAAGAATTTTTTTCTATGTTCAAATGTTCTAGTTAATAAAATTGGACGCCTTTTGAACTTTTCGACCAACACTCATATTTAGATCAAAAGAACCAGTACACGTTAATGGGAATTTCAGCGGCAGCCCAAGGTTGCCACATGATGGAGGTGAACTCTCCCAACAGTAACTTGAGAACATCTCACCAGCCTGTAAACACTCTGTGTTTGTCTTCTTTGGGGGTCAAACCTGTTCAGCGTTCATATCTGAAAACACCTCGAGTGTTTTCACGGAGATTGAGGATTACTCATGTCACAGCATCAGCACCACAGCATCAGCACCACAGCAGGTCTGATCCAGTGGCAGGATGCTGTTTACACTTCTCCACGGCTTCAGCAGAGATAAAACTAATAACCAGAGTGTGGCTCAAGACAAAGAGTAAATGTTTGTGTAAGTGACTTACTTACCTTTAACCTTCAGCTTTAATCTGTGCTGCCTGCGCTTGACGTCCTCCAGGGTGTCGTAGTGGTTGATGAACGGGATGGAGGCAAAGACGCCATTGAACATCCTCTTCTGTGTGCATGACTGTGGAGGACCGGAAACCATGTGTGAATGTGTGTGAATACATGGCAAAAACAAGGCGCAACCTTTGATGTAACACATGATAGCACAGAAATATTCACTTTGGTTGTTACTGTACGCAACAAACTGGCTGTCGATTTAGTTTCTTTAAGATTTAAGACTAAGTCACAGAAGAAAAATTGAGTTGAGATCAGATTAAGTTTTAATTTACAGTAGGAAGCAGAGGAAACGTTTTTTTTTTAAGTATAATTTGAGTTTCCGGGATTTTTCAGTCAGAGAGACAGAGTGACTGAAAAAGGGTTAAATTGAGTAAGAGTGGAGTCTTCAGTTTGTGTCATCAGTTGAGTCATTAGTCCTGGACTTGAGTAAAGCAACACTTGATATACACTTGATGTATCACTCAACATATACTGCAATAAAGGGCAGGTTACAAATATTCAAAAGAACACTTTTACTTCATAGATGTTTCCTGTGCAAACTCTTTAATGTTTGAATTTGGTTTTCACACAAGACTATATAGTGTAGTGATCTTCCACTGGCGGCCCGTGGGCCAAATCTGGCACGTCAAACAATTGAATCCTGGGATATGAACTGTGTTCAATTTCCACCACATAAAAAATGTTTTTATTCCCGATTCTTTAATCAGAAAATTGAGAAAGAGATTTGATACTAACATACAACATGAAACGCAGGTCCATAAGAATTCCCCTGAGATACTCACATGGCCAAAGTGTCCTCTTCTGGAGCAGTTGTAACAATAGGCCGGAGATCGACCATTGTCCTGTCCCTCCAGCTTCGCAGGAGAACCTGTCTTGGTCTAAATAATGCACACAAAAAAAATCATATTAAAACGCTTGTTGCAAGGAAATAATGTCTTATATAAATTCACTTTTTCACAAAGGATACAAAGAATGAGTGATTTCCCACCGTTTGTCTCCCAGTCTCACACATTCTGACATCGCCCGCTATTAAAGCTGGACTCAGTGTGTCGCACAGTGAATACGTGCAGTGATATGAACCAGACTATCAGGGCTATAGTTAGAGGCCTGTAATGAGCCTGTATGATAAGTTACCCTGTCTGTGTGTGTGTGTGTGTGTGTGTGTGTGTGTGTGTGAGTGTGTGTTGGACACAGGGTCCTGTCCCCTATGGGCCAGTTTTCTGAAAGCCTTCCATGCTCCAGTGCTCACAGCAAATATACACTGATAAAGAAAAAGAGAGTCACAGCCACAAACACACCGGCACCATGCTGTTCCGTGCAGCTAACAGACACACACACACACCCAAACATACACACACACTCTCTCTCTCCCTCTGTCTCTCTCTCCTGATTCCAAGATTACAAATCATTTGTGTCCCATGTCATTTCTTAACCAACGCTTAGCCAACCACCTCTCCTCTCCCTTTCTTCTCCTCCGCTCTCTTCTTCCTCTTTTCCTCCATCCCCACATCCTTCCCCTCACCCTCCCCTCCCCTCTAACTCTCTCTCTTTTCCGCTTGAGCAGTTTTGCGGCAGAAAGGATGAATGCTATTAGAGCGTCGCGTCATTATCGGGTCAGACCGGCCGGGCCCATCTCCATCACAAAGGCCAGGAGATCACAGACCTCTTGTGAGCACGTACACACACACACACACACACATTCTAACCCAAACATACATACGTGTGTGTGTGTGTGCCCTTAGGAGATCACAGTCCCTGTCTCAAGCCCCCTCACCCTCAGCCTCCACCCTCCGTGCCCCTCTTCCCATTCATCTCTCATGTAAATTGGATGTAGGTCTCCCTCTGTCTCTTCCTTCCTGACCTTGGGCTGGTGTTATCTCTGCACACTCTGATCCAGAACACAGACGGAATGAATGAAGGCACCAGTCAAAGGAAAAAAAAAAGAGAAAGAAATGAAATCCTCTTCTTTTCTTCCATTAACCTGTAATATATGTCTGAAAACCTAGAGTGAACATGCATCTGCCAGGAGTTGTCTGACTCGTACAATATTAATTAACTGGAAGAAAAAAATCCCTTATCCCTCTCTGGGTCCACCTCTGTTTTCAACCAATGCCTCTTATCAGGGCATCTAAACAGCTAACAGGGTGAGGGCCTCAGGGATCAAATCAGGTTTTCTCTCCGTGTGTCTCTTCTTCTGTTCTGAGGGGACTCAGAAAGACGCTTGCTGTACAGCAAAGTCAAACCTGTCCAAACTGAGAAAGTGTCACACAGATGTGTTGAGTTTGCAGGTCAAACCTTTTTTTCGTGAGATCATCTTGACTTTTTGGCACAGACCCTGAAGTGAAAAAGTTGATTTCCAGAGTTTGATGAGTTTGAAGACCTTGAATTCAAGGTTGGTCTTTGACATTTAATTTGTTCTTGTGGAAATCTTCTCCAGTACATGAGTTGACTTTTCTTGCTTGTCATTAGATTCTTCATCCTGGACACATCATATCCGTCACCTGTGTGTCTCACTGTGGGGTCTGTGTTCTTTGTATTTTATTACTCTCCCTTCTCCAAATATATGAAACAGCCAAACTCCCGAAAAGTTGTGTGGAATTTTTCATTTGACCTGCTGATTCCACGCACCCCTAGAGGGCCCTGCCCCCCACTTTGGGAACCACTGGTCTACACTATGGCATCACTATGCCTGTGCACATTCCTGGAATGTACTATGGCCTGAGAACAGCTCAGTTATTGAGGAAGACAATCATTTTGAACTTGGTATTTGTTGGAAGAAATAAAAATGATTTTTTTTTACATATGCACAGAGAACTGTTTGATACATTTATTAGGGGAGTTAAGAGTGTTTGTTTGTAGCGAATGCTTGAGTAAAGACTAACTGAATTATCAAAATGACACAGTTCAATCTGCCACGCTCCAACATTCTGTATAGGAGTTGTTGTTTTTATAGACATTTAGTGAAGAAAAAAAAAATTGTAAGTTGTGTCTCTTTGGTTAACTGGCCACTGGAAGCAGGCACAGCAGGAGGAGTCAGGAGTTTGATTCACCGACTGCTGATATGACATGAAGAGTGACTGAAGCTTTTGCTGTCAGAAAAAAAAGGATTGCGAGAGAGAGGGAGAGAGAGAGTACTGACGATTTAGTTTGTGTGTGTCTCCGAAAAATTCTAAGGGCTTCGGCGTGCAAGCATAGACAACCAACCATCCGTGCCACCCCCTATCTCACACTCACACACAAACGTGTGCACACTTTTCCCACAGTTGCTCCGGCACATACATCGTGTCTCTCTAAGCTTTCCGCTGCTCCGTGCCTTCACTGCTGGTGGCAAAGCTGTGATAATCCTTTGGCCAACACAAAGCTACGACTGTTACAAACCACAATCCGAAGGAACACACACACACGCACACAGTTATAAAATGCAATCCGAGAAGCAAACAGGCTTGCGTGTGTGTGTGACAGAAAAGAGGGGGGTGTGTGATGTGAACAGTAGCGGGTGGTGGGAGTGTAGGCGACCAGGCCAGTGGCTCTGTTTTGCATATGTTATTGCAGCGATGGGGAGAGGTTTGCATATGTTACTGGAGCCACCAGGGAGCCACTCTGCATGCTTTATCATAGGAAACAGCCGCGCGACACTAAACAACACAATTGGGTTCATACCAAAGCAAATAGGCTTATGACGTGAGTCTGCAGCACGCCGGTAGGTACTCATTAAAACGAGTGTAGATTAGAGAGTGATTTTTAGGATTTTTTTTTTCTTTTTAAGTTCAACATCCACTCCTTTGATCTTCATTTTATTAAAACCATATTTTTCCCATTATACCTGCTCCATTTGTTGGACTTATTAGCCAAGACAATCACGAGACAACAGAGGAACCAGATGTGGTTCCTGATCCCTTTGTGTCTCACAAAGACCCAGACCAAAGCCCTGACTGACCCTAACCCGACCAGGAGTCTCACACAGTTCAGTTCCCATAATGCCTCTCTCGCCTCTCTCGCCCCCTCTCGCACGCACGTCAATCCTTGTGATTTTCTCTTCGGAAAGGAATATTCTCCTGGAATGCAATGATAATGTGATGCGGCAGTAAAAAGCAGTGGGGCTGCCACCCTAAAAGCACCACCCCACCCCCTCACCCACCCTTCCCACCACTACTCCCCACCCACTCTTATGTGGCAGAGACTGGAGGTAATCTGGTCACAGTGTGGAAGGCAGAATAGAGGGTACAATTTAATCTATTCAAATCTGGGTGAAACTAATTCAATTTCTATACTTGCTCTCCTTTCAGCACCGTGGTCGGAGTGATGCCTGTTTTAAAGCAAAGAGCTCGAACCCACTTTATTCTCTGCAATTAGACACAGCCAACACATGTGGACATAAGAGACAGGGATTTAGATGTACTACATACAGATGGACTGAGACGCTTATGCCCCGAGTCTGGAGGGTAAACCCTTATTACACATCTCAGCCAACACATCACGAACCGACACACACACACGCACGCACACAAAATCCCACACTTCCACACAGCCCAACAACACAATCAACATCATCCGTCTAAGCGAAAAACGCACAAAGCACGGCAAAGGCTGCAAGACCTCTGATAACACCCCACCTCTGTCTGTCTGTCTGTGTGTGTGTGTCTGTGTGTGTGTGAGACATTCCTATGCTTCTGCACATACATCCAGCAGTTTATGTAAGGACAATGATTCTGAGTGATGTCGGTAAAATGTTGTCTCTTCAGCCCAAACACCATATTAGAATATTAAAAATATCTGTCAGGACTTTAATTAAATATTACTCTAATCTCAGACTGCACAAGAGAATGTGGGCAGACCGTTTGGTTTTAGAGTTGTATTTTAGGATTTTGATAAATAAATACGGGTAAAAATTTACGTAAAAAGTAAAAAGTTACGCATAATCACATTCAATGTTATTTTATAGCCTTTCCCTGATGAAACCCAACCTGGGATTTAAGGCCTGCGTGGTATTGAACCTGGAGGCTATTGTTATCATTATGATAATTATTAATTAATTAATTATTATCATCACCATCATAATCATTATTATTATTATTATAACATACAGGAGCTTTGAGTCTTGCTTGTAATTAGTTCTACTTTCTTAATAGTGATCCTTTAACCTGACAACACGATTTAAACTCACTCATTTTGTGGGCTCTACACACACGGGATTATATTATACATGTTACTGTCGAAGTTCAAGAAAAACGTAAATCACATCGGGACGATGACGTTTCCTTGGTGACTCTGCAATCACATTTTTTCCCACCAAGGGGCGCTACAAGTCTTCGCAAGTTGTTAAAGAGATACAGCAACCACTTCGTTGAAGGCCATTATTTTTAACTGGAATAAGTTTGATTTCTTTCTTTTTTTTGATGCTGTCCGCGGAGTAAACATTTGTTTTATGCTCTGCTAAAAAATAAAAATATAATATAAATTCAGATAAATGTTCTGGTGGTGGTAGTGGTTCTGTCAGTCAAACCTCGTCTGTTGAAACTTTACACAATTTATAAACTGTATTAATCCAGTTCACACATTTGTTTTCATAACTTATTTTCATATTTTGCCTACATTTTTTTTATTTAAAATTTTTGTAACATTAACATGTATATTATTTGTAATGTGACTTTGAGAAAAGTCAGATGTTCACCTTAGTCGGAGGAAATGCTAATGCAGTTTCCTTTCTGCACAGAGGATGAATTTTAAGGGCCCACACCTCCTAACCTTGGGGTTAACAAAGAGTGGGAATGAAGGAGACTGGAGGAGAAAATTGCAGAGACATTAGGAAAGTGCCGAGGTGAGGGTGAGGAGGAGGAGGAGGAGGAGGAGGAGGAGGAGGAGGCGGAGAAGTAGGAGGAGGAGGAATGTCTGATGGAGTTCAGGCAGAGCAGTGAGTACAACTTCATATCTTTGTTGAAGAAAAAGGTCAGAGACTTTTTCTACCAGTGGAGACACTGACACACACTCATCGACAGTGGTACCATCAATGAACAGGCGCACAATCAGGTATCACAGCTACTATCTACAGACAAGCCAATCCCTGCTGAGTATTAACACTTGAACCAACCAGCTGCTCAGCCTTAACATTCCCCCTCTGCTCACACTCCTCCATTCAATACACTCACCCAGCTTCTTTCTGTCTTTTGTTTTGACCAAGATGAAAATATGAGTCATTTTAAATCTAATTTAAATGTTCACTCTGCTCTGTATCATTCATCAGAAACTGCTAAAACGCCCACCGCCCCGACCCCCCCAAGAACACACACAGTTTTCAGTTTTACTCGGGAATCACCTGCATTCACGTTCCTGAATTTGAGGGGCATTTACGGGAAGTTAGGGTGTACTTCTAAAGCCTGTCAGAGGATGGCGCTCTGGTCTTTACCATGCAGAGCAGAGCTCTGACAGCAGTGGGGGAGGAAAGGAGATCGCCACAGTGACACGTGTGCGCGTGCATGTTAGATGTATGCACATATTTCTTCTTTTTTTTTAAACGTATTGATGCAACATCCCCAGAGCGGTGTTCTCTACTCACGTCATTTCAATCAATCCATCAACCGTACTTATTGACAAGTTTCACTCTAAAATCACAACAACATCTGGCCGTTTGTTAAAAAAAAAAAATGTTTTAAGCATCTTTCAATATTGTTTGAGAGAAGGCTGATTCAAAAATAGTCTCGAAAAAAGTCTAGGGCGAGTGTGGGATGATGTTTTATGTTAGCCCTTTAAAAAAAAAAGTGCATTTTCTATAATTACAAGCCATATAAAATTCAAAGTAATGACTATGATGTGTTTAATGACATAAGACACACCAGTGTTTTTTTTCTTTTGGAGTGGACTGTCAGCATCATCTAATGTCAGGAAATTTTAAATTACACATATATATGTATATAATGTCCCTTAAAGCAACAACCAGTCACATTTACCAGACATGTCCACATACTCCTGATACATTGTGTCAGACAAACTGTTGTAGACTGGTATTATTTTAAATACTTTTTTTGTTAGAATGTTAGAAAAAGTGACTTCACTTTTATCTATTTTCACACACACAAAAAAAAACCCAACAAAAAACAGAAGTCTGGTTTCTCTAATTTACACACCGTCACACTGAAATTGACCTTTTCAGTATAAAATGTCATCACGCTCTCTCTTACCAACCAACCAAACAAAACCAAAAGTGTCATCACAGGGCTACACCATAACAGACTGAGGTGATAATGTTTTGCTCATGAAAAAAAAAGAAAAGAAAATGTTTTAAAATGTCAGTGTCTCTGGTTCGTGTCCCTGAACCGAAACTTCGTTTTCCATTCCACTGTCGCAGAGGATTAAAATAAATTAGAAAATAATATTTAAGACTCATCACAGAACATATTTAAACGTGTTAAAATGAACCTAATAGGATTAAAGGATTGTCAGAACGGTAAATAAATTATTTTGTAGACAATTAGTCATTAATAATCAACTAAACCATACAGTTCAAATGAAGCCTTGTTTTCAACGATGTCATGTTGTATCCTGCACCGTCAGAATCTCAGACTACAATGGATTTTCTTTTAAATATTGTCAAGAAAGTGTGTTCATGTCTGATTATTGATTTTTTTTGTAGTAATATCAGTGGTTTTGCTGTTAGAAGAAAGGACGTGTGAATATTACTGCTGTAAAAAAGTGTTCAGAGCCACAATATTTAGACAAAAAATGTTGTTGGTTGCGTTTTTCTGCATTTGCTGCTCCTTATTTATGTGTGTGTGTGTGTGTGTGTGTTAGCCTGTGTCAGTATCTTACTTTCTCAGTAAATACCCCGGGGCTTTGTGGTCTATACTGTGTGGTTTGGAGGAGTTTGTTAGTTAAGGCCAGGTGCAGCTGGACAACACACACACACTCTCAGGAGATAAACGAATGACTCACACACACACACACACACACACGCAAACATACACGCGCACACACACACACACAGGATAAATGGCACCAGAAGCAGGGAGGTCTGACAGAATGCCTTTTCACACCTGGCTGAGCCCAGCGGAAGGTGACAGAGTCACATCTCCCAATGCACGTGAACGGACACACACACACACAGACACACACACACAGAAAAACGTAGGGGAGTTCAGGGTCATAAACAGCATCATGAATAAAATGAGAATCCTAAACAGAATGAGTGGTGTGTGCAGGTGTGTGCGTGCGCGTGCATCCCTAACCACCACGCCAGTTAGGATATGTAACGACCTTCTGTTCCCTGTGCTTAAATGGCTTAAATACTTTAATTAGACCCGGGTCACAATCCTCCACCCGTTAAAGCACAGTGTCACACACTGAGACACACCCACGATACACACAACACCAAAAACAACAGGCGGAACTTTCATCATCTCCAGTATAAGACCAGAGAATCTTTCCAGTCCGTGACCTCTCCTGCTGGTCGGGAGGAAAAGTGAAACGCGTCCATCATGTCTTACCTAACACACGGGAAACAGAGATGAACTCAGCTCTCACTCTCTCTGCCAGAGTCTACTTTGAAACTTGTATCCCTCTCCCTCTCCCTCCTCCTCCTCCTCCTCCTCCTCCTCTTTCTTCTCTCCGTCTCTCCTGCCGTGCTCCTCTAACGCTCATGATGCTGCCTTTTCATTAGACAGCCCCTGCTAATTAATCTCCAAAGAGAAGAGTGACAGACCCCAACACACACTGCGAGTCCACGCCAAGATATATGCAAACACACACTCTTCTTACTTCCCTCTCTCCATCTTCCACTCCCTCGTCCCGTGTGGTGCTGGCAGCCCATTTCATGCTTTATCACGTCTTTTAATTGACAAACAGGCTGCTCTTTTCTCTTAGGCTGAGGTCTATATCACAGAGTGAGCCTCTGATGTACACACTCACACACTCTTACACACACGCACACACACAGACTTAGACGAAAAACTGTTATTTTTAGACGCATGTATTAATTCTTATTAACACCTTCACCTGAGTACAAATTAATTCTATCCGACATGTGACCAAAGTGAACGACTCTCACACAAGGTTTTGTCGGTTTTTTTGGCATCCTGTCTCACACAGAAACGGAGGGAGGGGAGGAGAGTGAGAGAATGAGAGAGAGAGAGAGGTTTGGTTTAAGTTAAGTGTGGTTTGAGGCAGCGACAGAGCAAAACTGATAATAGAGAAACTGGAGTTTCAACACCAATAAATACTGACTGTATATTACTGTGGTCCAGGATGAGAGAACATTTTGGAGTCGTCATTTGTCTGTCTGAAAGTCTAGACTCCTCCACTTAGATTGGCGATGATTGACAGCATTTTTTTTTTTTTTTTTTGCAGTAGTGCTAACATTTAGCTGCAGTTGTTTTAAGTACAGGTGTAACTATAGCTCTGAGTCCTGCAGTACTGGCTCTAGACACCAGGGCACCACCATGTTATTGAAGTTAATGTTCAGATTTATTCTGATATATGTTTGGGCTTCATTACAACTGTGCAGCAGCTCAATTTATTTTTTTAGTTTGACAGTTATGGTTGAAATTAGTTGTTATCCAGATTAGCAACTTTAAAACACAGTATTTCTTAAAAAAGCTCTAAATATTTCTTTTAAAAGATAATAATGTGAGACAATACACCCCACGTCAAAGTTGTCAGCATCTTCATGAAATGGAAAATGTTTTCAATGTCACAAAAAGCAATGATGATCTTTTTTTAAGACAATAGCAGGAACCCCAACCCTAACCCAGGTTATTAAGGTTGAAAAAGTCATCATTCAGGAAGAAAAATATTACATATTTAATGTAATAAAAGTAATGGTGTGATGGAGGATACTCACTGTAATGTGGTACTGCCTCCAGATTTCTGGACAGGCCTGAGGGGAACAGAAAAAAATAAACAAAAAGGTTATGGAGGTAAAGTAATCAGCCTAATCTGTCACTGTAGACAAACAGACATAAACACAGAACAACACAGTCACGGTGGGACCTTTTCAAGTAAACACTGAAAACAACAGATCATAAAATGCTTTAATTTGCAAAATGTAATTTAGATTCCTCACCAGTAGGACACAGTAACTGTTACAGACGTGTGTGTAGGAAGCCCTTGCATAAAAAAACCTGGGAGACTTTGAGAATTACCTTTAATTTAATAAAAAGAAAACCCTGTGAAACAAATAATTTAATTTTGGAAAAAATAATACACAAGAGGCTCCTTGGATTCAAATCAATAACTTTGGAAAAATTAGAATTCCCCTAATTAGTATTATTAAAATGTTTCAATTGTTTGATAGTTGGGAAACATGTTAAGAAGTGTATTTTTGTGACTGCTTCTCATAAGTGGACAGATCCCTTAAAAAAAGGAGAAAAAAAACAACAACATTGACGCAGCAGAATAAAGTATTCCTTGAGAAAATTATGATAATTTTTATGACAAGTGTACAATGTATTTTAAAAGACAGAGGAGTGGACCGACGCTGAGGCCACATCCACAGACTACGTGTTCATTCCTCCCAGTCTCTTCCTCCGTCTCCGACTGAACCTTTATCTCAGTGGTTTCTCTCTAACAGGCTGTTTCCCCCTCATCTCCGTCCCTGCAGCCAGTCACTCAAACAGTCGGCAAGTGAGGCAGTCAGTCGTTCTGTGGCGGTGTGGCTAAAGCATTATCTCCGGGGCTTCGCCATGCTGTTCCTTAAGCGTTCCGACATCCTTTCCCAACTGCCACCACTTCCCACTGGGAAATTGAAAATGCCGCAGTCGCCGCAGGCAACAAGATTTATCTATTTACACACCTACTGAGTGGAAGAGAGAGAGAATGAGAGAGGGGCAGAGAGGGAGCTTTAAGCCTATTCTCTGAACGAGGCTGTGTTTACCTCTGTCCTGCAGACCCTAAACAAGGTCCTATATAAATCTGCATGATGTGCAAATTCACAGAGGCACCAAGGTGCTTCTTCAAATCTTTCTGAAGCAGCCTGTAAAGTAAAGTATGGTAGGCAATTTTTAGAATCTGCTTTTAATTTGCAGTGCTCACACACAAATACAGTGATGGACAAATATAAATTTCGACATCTGTATCCTCCTCCACCTCTCATCAACATTTCCTTTCTTCAACAGCCCCCCTCCACCTACACCTCCCACACCCGCGCACCCCATTTTCTCTCTCCCTACAGTCCACCGGGGTAGTGTTGTTGTTGAGGGCGACAGGCGAGAAGAGCGACACACTCGCGCTCCGTCAACCGTCTGTCTTTAATGAGAGACACAGAAAGGCCCAGGGGACAGAGACCTGACTCTCTTCTCCTTTCTCTAACACACATAAATTCAGTGTAATTTGTGAAGGTACGTGGAGGGAATAAAGTTATGTGTGTGTAAAAAAAAGGAGGGTAATTAAAATAACACACTAGTTTGCACCTTTGGTTGCCACTGTTAAAAAAACAATATGTAAAAGAAGAGTAAGCAGTGGAGGGAGGAGGAGGAGGAAGAAAAAAAGAAAGGATGAAGAATAAAGAAGAAAAAAACGAGAGAGGGCAAGAAAGAGAAACAGGGCTGTGTCCTGGTCTCCCCTCTCCCTGTGGTGTTCACCTGGTTACTCATCCATTACACAGAACAGTACATGACTGAGAGGGGTGGGGTGGGGTGGGGGGGAGAGCGGACAGAGTGAGGTAGAGAGAGAGAGAAAGAGACAGAGAGCGAGAGGCCTTCACATACACAGTTTTCCATTCTATGACATTAGTGTAAATGGGCAAGGTAATGAACGCTGTGGTGAGATAATTGTCATTGATGGTCATTAGATTCACCCTTCACTGTCAACACACACACACACACACACATGCACCCACGGACAGCAACAAACACACACTCACAGCCAACATGCAGCCGCCCGCAGCTGGAATATGCAGCATGGCAGAGACATAACTAAGCTGTAATTGCTGAAGTGTATCAATTAATGTGAACAGCAGCGTGTGTTGACCCCCGGTCACTTAGTAGTGCAGATAGAGGGAGGAGTGGGGGAGAGACGGAGGGAGAGATGAATCAATAATTAAACCATTTTATTTTTTATCATTTATTTCAATGATTATTGGAGGAATAATGCGGAGGATTCCCCCACCATCTACTTTTTTTTCCCCTTTTCCTTTTGTTGATAAATTAACAGAAGATTCCCCACCACCTGAAAATCAGCAGGATATCTACTTCCCCCCCCCTTTTCCTTTTGTTGATAAATTAACTTCCTCGTTGAAATAATAACCAGTCTGCAATAGATTCAGTAGGTGGCAGTAATGCAACTTATTTAGATGTAGCTCTGCCTGTAAAGCCAGGTAAGAAGTGAGGCTGAGGAGCATTAGCTTGTACTAGCCTTGGTAAAAACTGACTTTTTCCAATTTAGTTGTAAATTAACTGTAACAGAAATCAGGTTTCAAAACATGTGGCTAGTGTTTAAAACACAGGTAAAAATGTATGCCTTCGTTTTTACACCTAAACACATGGCTAGTGTTTAAAACACAGGCAAAAATGTATGCCTTCGTTTTTACACCTTGCCAGCTCCCAGGGGCACGCTAACCGCAATATGGCTGATGTGGCTAACATGCTACATGGAAGCAAAGTGTAAACATTCATTTTCTAGTGATCAAAAGGTTTTTTGACAAGATTGAGACAAATGTTACTTTGGTTGAAGACCTCTCACGACATACTCACGTCAAAGAAGTGTCCCTTCATGCCACAGCGGTGACACTGTTTGTGCCAGTACGGCCTCTCGCTGCAGCAGTCAAACAGGTGACCAGGCAGTCCACAGTTGTTGCAGTGTCTGTTGGGACAGTCACTGCTCACATGTCCTGGAGTTCCACACAGGTAGCAGGGCGACAACCGCTGCACATGGACAAAAATATATATACTTTTTTTTTTAATTGCTATTGTTTAAATCATTGTATTTTGGCCATATTTAAATACTGTTGCTGACGGGAACTGACCGTCGGTTCGGGGCAGTTCTTTGACAGGTGTCCAGTCTTGTTGCAGTTTCTACAGAGGACATTCTTATTGGTGTAATATCTGCTGGGAATTCGCTGCAGCACAGTCCTGGCTCCTTTGTCCTTGTTATAGATCTGAGCCTGGAACACAAACAAAAAGCAGGATCACAAGTTGTGTCATACAACTTCGACACTTCCAAGGCTCCTTTGGTTGTTTGTGCTCAAGGTGATATTAATGGTGTAAGTTCGGGGTCTTTGTCTTAATGCAGAATACATTCTGTTCAAACAGGATGGCTGCCTGATGAAACTGCATGATGGGTAAGTATCAGATTGTATTTCTCAGCATGGACCCACCCGCCATTATAATCCCATTTGAGAAATTGCAGCCACAAACTTGCAAAGAGTCAACACCATGCTTCAGTGATGCTGCCAAAACTCATTATTGTTCTGTTTTCCCGGTCTTTGGTGAACAAAGTACTATGGCCATATTTTAGTCACCAGTCCAGTTAGCTGCCATTTTCCTGCACCTCATATCCTGTCTGATGTGCACTGTGGAGCCTTATTTCCATGTCAGAAGTATAGATATTAGTCACGATATAAACCTCATGTCTCGTTTCCTCATTTTTCTCACATCGTGTTTAGTAAATTGCTGTAATTATATTGTTTTATTTTCCCTGATATTAGTCCTAACAAATCAAATCTAAATCATCTCAGACGACAGACAGTAGTGAATGTTAGAAAAACAAACCAACATTTACCTCCTTGTCCTTGTTAGAGACCAACCAGCTGCTAACTTCTTCACAATCTGAAAAGAAACATTTCATTATATTTTTTTTGGTCTGCATTTATCAACCACAGAACAAAGCCTGTGATGTATTTATACAGTGAACTAAAGATGCACTTTAAGATGAAGTCATCAATTGAATTCCTTCTAATTGCGGCTCTTGGCGTTCTTTTCTAATACTCAAATTAGCTTGACAACGTAGTAATATGTGGGACTTTAAGGAAAGAAAACAATTTTAAAGAAAATCAAAAGTAACACATTTGTAATTGTAATATTCCATCCTACAAAGAATACTAAACCACAAGAGTTTAGTTAGTTTAGTTCCTGTTAGGCAAGCACAAAGAAATGACACATAGCAGCACAGAACATCTGTATGAGTGCCACTAACAGCACCCTGAGGGACACCAATGTTTTCTCCATGGGCCGCCCTAACTGTAAACGGTATTCAAAATTTTAATGTACACACAAAATATACACGGCAGCACTGAAACATGCAGACATTCACTCAGCATGAATTATGGGCTGATAGCAATGACCTGCGCATGTTTGCATGGTTTTTTTTAGACACATTTCTTCCCACCCACTCATCGCCCCCTGTGATTAGCCGCGTGACATTCTTTAGCCTTTGGACAAACACAGAGCCTTGAAACATAATCAAATAAAACACACTCCTTTAAACCTCCCTCTCTCTCTCATTCTTTTACAATGTCTCTCCATACAGCCTGTTATCATTATTTTTTCCTTTGCTTTCTCTTCCTCCCTTTCTCCCTCTCTCCCATCACTTCCTCCCCTAGGGGTACACATTTGTAGTGGCAGTTTATTACTTCTCTTCCCTGTCAAACAAATTAAAATGGCTGCTGTTTGGACGGGTTGTCTTTGCACCATGACCTTAAACTCTTAAGAAAGAAGCCAAAATGCCAAAAATACTCACATGGTAGAAATTCTAGATGAAAAGCAATACCCCAAAAACACACAAAGTGGAAGCAGGTTACGTCATACATTTTGTGCCAATACATTTAATCAGAATTCACTCCTGGGTCAAATGACTGCACAGCACAGGGGTTATAATTGGCTGATGGTCTATCAGTGGGAACACAAGCCACAGCTGAACATTTCCAATTTTTCTTTATCATTTACAACAGTGATGGAGCAACAGTATGACATGCTCCATGCTCATTCCAATGGATATTTGTAGAAAAATTACTTTTTGCATCTTGGAAGACAGCGAAATATTTGAATAGAGTGGATTATAAATGGGAATTAACTGATCTTAAGAGCTAGTACACTGTGGCAGTAGGGAGGGTATTTCTTACATAATTACAACTATAGACATGTCAAACAGTACTGATGTGCTGTATGAAAACCAAAAACCAAACATAGTGACCTACCTATAAAAAGTGTACCTGTGCTGGATTGGGAAATTAAACTATCGTCCATAGTCCATGTGAAGTTTAGTAGAACTCCAGTGGAACAGACAACAACAATAACAAGTCCCTAAAATGGTCCTTTGACACAGATCAGTTCATCTGAAAATACTATTCTGAATTATGGAATGTAGCCATACGCAGTGTGCTATCATATTTTTGTTTAAAAGAAAAAAATCAAAACATTCTTTTAGTAGCATTTATTGATCCTGGAGCCTGTTAAGCAGATCTTCGGTGCTACCAGCTCACTTTGTGGTCTTCATATAAATCATGCATGAAAGAGACGCTATAACTGATATAGCATGGACATTTTGAATAGTCAGCAGGTGGTGAGCATGGATCGGTTTGCTAATGCTGTGGTTTTAAGTGCAAACCGCAATGTTAATTTCTCTGCCTGTAATGGAAAACTGGACATCTTTGAAGGAGGACTGGGGAATCACTCAGTAAGAATAAACATCAAAATATCATGCTTCTTGTGGATCATCTAGACTTCCTTCCTATGCATTACTGCGAGTACCCATTAAGACACAACCACGCCTGGTGTTACCCCAGGTTATTCCGGTAAACTTTGTCTATAAATTATGCTTACAGACAAAAAGAACAAATAAACCTCAGCAACATTTCCCAAATGTAAAAAGACTTTGGTAGAATGAGTGGGTAAGTAGGTCGAGAGATGGGGTGACACAACCACCAGTCAAAAGACATGGGGTAGAGGGTGTGCATCAGTGTTTGTGTGTGTGAGTGTGTGCATGTGTGTGCGTGTGTGTTAGTGACTCTGGTAGAATGTATTCCCAACAGTCTCCCGTGGGGACTCCCCAAATAAAGAGCAGGAAGCTTTCCCTTAATCTAAGGGCCCCCCATCTCACCAACACACAAGAATAAAGAGCGAAGCCTTTGTCACAGCCGAGGAATCAAACACATGGGGGGATGGAGGAGGAGAAGATGGGAGGGTGGATTGTGGGGCTTCTGTCTGTACTCTGAGTGAAAATATGCTAATCAACCTGGAGGCCCTGCTCGAAACCAAACCAACAGAGCCACTTACTCCATCGTGGCCAAGCGGATCTGAAGGTGTCTGAAGATGGATAAGCAGATGGCACCAGCATTGTAGAACAGCTGAGAGGTGATGGAGGGTTAGACAAGGATGGGTTGAAGTAAAATTTTAACAAGATTTTAAACGGCATTTTGTACCCCACATTTCACATCGTTATGGGAGGTTAAAACTGAGAATTTACCAAAACGTCAATCTTCTGACTGGGACCCCATAAAATAGTGACATTAAAAAGATGAGACAAAAATCAAGCACCAGGGTGCTAGAGTTTATTCCAGCAAAGATCTGAAAAATCCACTTGACTCGGCTTCACCAGTTTGATTCTATGGAAGAACCCGCACATTATCACATCACTTTCTTCGTCGAGGGAAATTCAACACAGTGGTGTGGAAGAAAGAGGGGGTGGGGGGGAGACGGAGAAACAGAGGGGGAGCAGGATCAGAGGAGAAAAGGCGACAGATGCTACCTGTCAGTCTCATAGGTATCCTGATTACTAGAAGATGAGGAAGAAAAGGGAGGAGGCTGTGTGCCAGTTCATCAGAGCTGGCAGAACACAAGACAGAAGAACTCTGTGTGTGTGTGTGTGTGTGCGCCTCGAATCTGTCCCTTGTACCAGGGGGCACAGAACGGAAGTGTACGTGTGGCTAATGAACCATGAACACCCAGCTCTCCAGGGGTGGGACACACATGCACATACACACCCACACAAAGGAAATGTTAGGAAGACTATAAGCAGCCTTACTCTCACAGGACAGGGTCCAGACTGGGTGGTTCAAGTCAGATAATCTAAAATTCAGACGCTCCAAAACACACCGTGTTCTTGGACGTGGCCGTCCTTTTGAAAAAGATCTCAGGCATTTTTGCAAGAAACCCATTTCATTGACTGAAAGCCACTAAATAAAGGACAACTGGATCGGTCTTGGTTTCTAGAAGACATTTCATCTCTTCATCCAAGAGGTTTTTTTCAGTCCTGACTAAATGATGGACTACTAGTGGCTGACTACCTGTGTGTGTGTCTGTAGGCGATAGAGTGTAGTGACTGTTAGACCACTATCTGCTACCAGAAGGTTCTGGGTTCAATACCATCTAGTCCCAAAATCCAACGTTGGGTGGCATCCGGTGTAAAAGCTCAGCTGAATCACTGTGTGGACCACCGCTGTGGTGACCACTGCTCAAAGGACAAACGGAGCGTTTCTTCTTCTCCTGTGTGTGTCGGTGTTTCTTTCCCAAGCTTTTCTCCACTCTTAGTACGGTTTAGACCCTTGCTCCATGCCACTCTCCCTTCATTCCTGTTCTGACACTTTTAACAGGCATCCCAAGCCCCTGCCTATTGAACCCTGCTGTTTGCCAGGCCCATTAACACACCAACCAGGGCGCACACACAAGCGCAGTCAAAATGGGAGTGAAAGAGAGGTCTTGCCCCCCAAATAGAGGTTATGTTTGACATTGAAGCGTCTGGGCCGGATTAGCAACACTATACATGACAAAAGTAAGGGTGGGTGGGAGTGTGCAAGCTGTGCGTGTGTGAAAGTCTGTGTCTGTGAGTGCGTGCTCCAAAAATGCTTCCTTTGTGACATCACCCTTTTCCTGGGAGCTTTACCCTCAACTAGGGTTAAAGACCCCAAAAAGGTTGGTCTTGTTCTTTTGTGCAAAATAAAAGTTTGGGCAAAGTTGAAAATCACAACAGCAGAGAGGGCAGGGGCACAAGTGAGATGATCAAAAACAGGAAGGAAGAGGAGTCGGGATTCACCCTTAATGGACATGGGCCACAGATCAAACCACAACACAACAAAGGAAGGCTAACGGAGTCTGGAGTCTGGACACTACCTGACGGAAAACAGCATCTGTGGAGGAAGAGAATGGAAAAGAACCCACTGCTAATTTTGTCTAGAAACTTCATTGTTGCTGAACTTGAACCTGAATGTGTGTGAATCTAATGTCAGACAGATTTTCCAATGCCCTGAAGTCCAATCTCTATGTGCATAGCAAATTAAAGAAAAAAAAAATGTTGCTTTGCTACTTATTGGTGAAACAATGATACACAGCACGGGCAGATGCCATCAGTATGGTCCCTGTTGAATCTTTCTTGTGTTCAAGCATCGTTTCATCACAGCCTGTCTTTTGTTATCTACCCCCCCCACACACACACACCAACAGCCCCCTCACCCATCCACACCCTTGACATGTCGAGTGTTCACCCCTGCCAGCCGTGCCACGTCCTCGCTTCCCCTTAACCCCACTTCCACGCCATGTTGGCAGCTAGGGCAGGGCAGGTGGCCAACACTGTCAGTCAAAGAGCCAACGCCACGCAGCAACATCACAGACACCAATTACTGCACAGCAGGGGCGCGGCCTGGCAACCGCATGGAAACCACATGGTCCAATCAGGGTACACAACAACAGGGACAGAAGATGGCCAAGAAAAGTGAGCAATGCTATTTCCTCCTGTATTTGGCTACGTGTTTGTGGAGAGAAAGAGAGAGAGAGAGCGAGAGAGAGAGAGTTTATGTCAGATGGGAAAGAAAAAAAAAATCATGCCAGCCGTATCT